TTGTACTTGAAGGACTGATCCCCAACAGAATTGCTTTGTCATGGGCTGAACAGTGGGTCAAAGGACTCTATTAATTTGAAGTTCAGTGTAGGGTTTTTTTGGTTTAGTGTTTTTTCCTGCAACAGTTAAAGAAACAGCTGTTCTCCCAAACTGGTGGTTGGAGCATCAGCAGTTGCAGGACTTTTTTTGACAAATTTATAGTAACTGCTGAGAAATTGAATCTTGAGTGATGGGCTTAGGGAGGCAGTAATAGCATCCTGCCATTCATACGCGTTCATGTTTACTTCAAATTAGAAGTGGAGAAAAGTGGTGACAAATTGCAGGGAGAGATAAGTTTCTTCTGTGAACAGCTAGCCCTGTTGGAGAGTTGTGTTGTGCTACAGCCTCGGTTTTTAAACTGCTCCCAGAGATGCTGCTGTGGCAAGCCGAATTGTCGTCTTAGGTGTGTATTTAAGCTGCACACAAATTAATTCATTTAAGTTTAAAATCTGGAAATCAATCTTTTTTGGATAAAGAATCTCATCCCAATAAATGCAAGGTAATACTGAGTCACAGCAGAGCTTTCTGGGGTAGCAGTGTTACACTCTGCCCCATTCAGGCTGTAAGCTGAGGACAAACCTGTCTCATAAATTCAAGCTTATATCCATGCTGTGAATTGAATAAACCTGTAAGGTGGCCAGCTCAGCTCCACTCCGTGTTGGTTTTTATTGATGCAGGCCTATAGCTTGCACTGACATGACAGATGATTTAATAAGGTCTATATTGTACAGGAAAAAATGTCGTTAGAATGAGCATAAAGCCAGTAATGTGTAATCTTCACCTATTTTGAACTTGGTTGCTGTGCAGATCCTGAGCAGAAGAACCCTGAGATAATGTGTCGCATCGGACTTTTTGAAAAGGGCAGTAAAGTTTAAAAGTCAGTCACTGGTGCTTCCGAGATAAAAAGTGGTAAATGTAATTTGAATCCTCCTCTCGTGAGGTAGCTATGTCATCGTTACTATCCAAGGGAAGTATGCCAAGGCTGTACCAAAGTGTGGTTCAATGCCAGGTTACCTAGCATTTGCTTTTGAAGACTAAGATTAGCATTTTGAGGTCCCAGTGGTTGTAACATTACATGTGAACCTTTAGCATTAAGCTGAAGTCTTGCCTATTATCCTGAAATGTTAAAAGCCTGAGAAAGCTGTAACATAAGTGTTCCCGTTTAAGCACAGACAACCAGAGCCTTAAATACCAGTATAAGGAGGAATTTCTCATTCGGTTGCATACAAGACCTTTTATATGGTGATGGGTGAAGAGGGAAGATGATGACCCCAGGAGTCACCAGCTGTTTCTGAAGCTCTAGGAATTGTCTCTTTCACCCAAATGACACTGTTTCCTGCTGCATTTTCTCTGGTCTGAGCCCCCTGCACTTTGTGTGTGCTCAGGTTTCACCGTATTAAAATGGTGCTTTTGTAGCATTGATCACCTTAGATCTGCGTGGATGCTGTTTTTCATAGAATCACAGAACAATTTGGGTTGGAAGGTTTTGTCACAGTAGTGACAAAATAGTCAATGAAACAATAGTTTCATAGATGTGGAAAAGGGATTAAAATGCTTCCTTTTACAGTAGTGTCTATGAAGACAAATGATGGCTATAGAAAGAGGCTTTCCTACCAAGGTGTTAAGGATTTGCTAAGGAATTCTGTCTTCAGACTGTTAAACGAGCTAAATTTATCACTAGAGATCAATTACACCGAATTATATACATACACTGAAAAGTTCCTACTTTCTGTGCTCTTGCCTGTCTTCATTTTTCTGCATCCCTTCTGTGCTTCTTATGTGCCATTACCCACTTCCTTAATGTCCTTCATCTATTCTTGCCTTTTGACTGCTCTACCTTAACCAGTCAGACATGTTTCCATCCTCTTCTCCTCCACTATTCTTCTGTGATATGTTTGCACCACAGCAAAATTACTACTGTATTTCCTTCCATGGTTGAGTGTAACTGGAAATGGGGAGCAGGAAGGAACGGATGACACACATGACAGAACAACCAAACCCACAACTAAAATGCAAGGACCAGTGCCTCTAGCAACAAAAATATAGTCCTGTGTTTAATGAAGCTATTTGAACTTTTGCAATTTGCCCCACATCTTGGGTACTGACCCAGGAGCCGCCTTCTCATACATATGTGTTTAGTTCTTTGATGTTGCAGAAGGAATTGAATTACTTCAAGAAAATACGGTATCTCTTATTTGAATAACTACTCGCATTGTAAATCCATGGCACTGTATAGCTTGTGATTCTTGTTCATGTGGGCCAAAATCTCTGGGAAATGAGGATTAGCATATATTAAAATAAAATTTAAGTCAATTTGTCCGATACAAAACATGGTATTTAGCTGAACCAGAGTAAACTGATGCATAGAGAGAACAAATTATGTAGTCTTGGGATTTATATTTTATTGTCTTATTGTAACAGACTACAGATAATAGAAAACTGTCTACTAAATTGGTCATCTCCACAAAAAGGCATGTTTAATTATTTTACTCTTATAGTTTGCTAATCTCCTTGTTAGAGTTGTCTTCTCACATTATGAGAAACCAATATAAGTAAAATGTTTCTACTTTTTCATTAAATGAAGAGATAGAGGCTTGTTTTTTCCTAAGCTGTCATTAAAGCTGGTTATTCCTGCGTTCATGAAGGTAATAGATGAAAAATTGATTTAGAAGAAAATACTTTAAGACTTGCTGACTCCAAAAGAGCTCATTTTCTTAGTGCAAACAGTTTTAGGACACTTTCAGGATATTTTAAAAGGGAGAGTCTTGTTTCCAAATAAAAGATAAAGATGCAGACAGTTTTAATGATTTTGAAAGCTGAATTTGTGTTAACTTGATGTGATCATGTGCATGCATGATCAATAGTTACTTTTTTTGGGAAGATGTGTGACACTTAGTAGCTTCTGAAATTATTCTGAATCATAATTTAAGAGTTCATCATGAAAACATTCCATTTAATTAATTTATTAAAATGTTAACCTGGTGATGAAAGGGTGGTGAAACAGTCCTGTAGAACTTCAGTAGCCACCCTTGTAAAATAAAGACCTTTTAAACAATGCATAACTGGAAAGTTACTTTTTAAAGACTGCCGGAAAGAAACGTAGGTTTCAAAGTTGTTCTCTCTCCCCATACTCCGGTCTTCCGTCCTTATTCAGCCTACATTGATCTGTAGATGGTATTTCAGTTTTAGAGTTACTTGTTAGGTGTTTCTCTACACACACCTGTAGACCTAATTTTGGTGATGGTGTTTTCTTTCTCCTTCAAGTGTGTTGAGCATAGATCACTACACTACAGGTTTCTGTGTTTCCATAGGCACATGGAGTTATATTTCAGTAGGATGCATCCATTTTACACTAGGGACTTCAGCACAGACAGGCTTTGGCAGCATATATTGGCATAGATAAGATGATTTAAATCAGACAGACAAGGGTCAGAGTTTCGAAGATCCACAGGCTTGTTCTTGTTTTGACATTGGGGAGTTGGTGGATAGATTCTAAAATTATGGCCACGAGGCCCTAGCTGCAGTTAAGTTGCATGTAAATATAGGCAGTTATTCTTGAAACACAACACCAGGGTCTGCTAAACATTATACTTCTCCTCACATTTACAAAAGTATCTTTCTAATTAAATGTAGTGGCTTAATCCAGGCAGAAGCATGATACATATGGTGCTTTTTTTCAAACATTTTTTTTAAATCAGAAGGATACAAGAGAAGAGGACTTGAGAGATCTTTAGTCCAAAAATACTGGTTCTACTTCTGTTCTTTTATACCATGGTGATTGCCCTGATGTCTGAATTGTAGTCACATTGATTGTAGTGGAAAGTATTCAGGTTCGCTTTACGGAAATGCAGCAGGTTTAAAATTACTTCTTTGTTTTCAAACAATCCTTAACATACCCTCTTTTTCTTCTAACAGTCTGACAAATGTTTGTAAGCACAAACAGTAAATAAAAATTAACAGATGAAGCTGCAAGGATAAAATTACAAGGATTATTAATCCTCAGGCTTCACTTAATAAACTGATTGACAACTAGGATTAAGTGAATTTTCTTCCACTCAGTGTTAGTGTTGTGCCATTAGGTTCATGCTGTTGATTGTATGCCTGAAACATCCATGCTTGGCCTTTTTCTGGAAAAGGAATGCTGAGTTAGTTGCATTATTGTTTACAGCCTGCTAGTCCTGACGCCTGTAATTCAGTTTATACAAGTGCAGACAGGGGAGAGAAGAACTGATGCAATGAGTTAACCTGGCCTCTGTGAGCCAGGTGGGGCGATCTGCTAGGGTTGAGCTAGCAGCCAATGCTGAATTTTGCAGTTTAATAAAAACTAATTTTTTTTGTGCTCAGAGTTTGTGCATACTTTTCCCCTGCCCCTCAGTGCTTGGGATAGATGATGGCTGGAACCTGCAGCCTGACAAACTGCTAAAAGCAGGTCCCTTCTCTGTCTGCAGTTTTGGGGAAAAATACACTGGGTACAGGGAAAAGCTATTGTTCATGGAAGAAAAGCTGAGCTGGAAAAGCTTTCATCCATGTTCTGGAAGAATGCTTGGGGAATATCCACTGAATACAGTGAATTAACTTGGTCTCAGTTCTGGGATTGCAGAAATACTGCTGTTGGAAAGAAAACTTCTCCTAAAAGGACTTGCTCCTGTCCCTGTCTTTTCATGAGGTAATAAATCATACGACTGGGACATGTTGAAGAGCAAGGCTAGCTCAGTTTGGGTTTCAGCGACCACACGGTATAGTCATTTGTGGGGTTTTTTTTTTTCAGTTCCTCGTGGTACAAATAGAAACAGATTTCTTTGGTTGTAATCAGGCAAGTGCCTATCAGCATCTTCTACCCTTTATGATAGCAATACTCGTTTGGCTTGTGGTAGTTGTTTTCATACCCACCTACTCAGTCTGAATGAAAAATAAACAGTTTAGATCCCTGCAGTTTCTGAGATTTGTGATTTCTCTTTCAGAGTTCAGATGGGTCCCTTTCTGGGGTTATGCAGAGGTGGAAGGAGTATCAGCTCCAGTGTCTGAAATACTTGTATGAGGCACCCCCCATTGCAGCAGGTAAGCCTGCTTGGTAGGAATAGGATCTATTAATTTTTAAAATGCATTATAACAGCAAAAGACTGATAATGAACTTGAAAATATTTCTTTAGGTTACTTTCCAGTCTGCTGCTTCTGTATCCCATTTGCTTCTGCTTGGTCTCTGTGGGACTTTTCTCTCTACTGAGGAAGCATTTTATAGACAATTTCAGTGTAAAGATGTTAATCTTTAGGTCCAGAGTGTTTTACAGTGGCAAGTGGTAGCTGCAGCACATTACAGCAGTACAGTAACGTAATACTCCTGAAACTTTTTTTAGGGGTCAGGGTTGAGAGAGCACACAGGTGTTAGGGATTCTGAGACAGTGCAGTTCACATAGACCTAGCACTCTGTGGGCCTTAAAGTTGGTATAAATTATTTTGAGCATTGTAAAATGCTGAAATGGCTTTAAAAAAAAAAAAGTGCCTTAGTGAAAAGGAGAATGTAGTTTGTCTTAGCAGTTGGGCTGCTGTAATGTGCTGAGAGCAGCTGCAATGTGCCAGCATGATGGTGTTTAGAGGACACTGGTGACTTGTCAGTGACACTCACAACTGGACACAGTGCAGCCTCTATGTGTCAGTGCTTTTGTGACACTCTGAGAAAGGTAAGAAGAGTCTAAAGTTGTATTCAGTGAAGAATTATTTCAAACCCGTTAATTTGCCTTCTCTTAACTACATTATTATGGCAGAGTGAGAGCAATAGCTGATGACAACAATGGCAGGGAAACATTCATTTCCCTCTGCTCCATTATCCTATTGAGCGCTTGAGTGCTGCCCTCTAAGAATGACAGTTTAATAAATCTGAAGTTGACGTATTCTCATGTTGATTAAGCTGTAATGCAAAGTTATGGTTGTGTGTAGGTATTTTGTTGATGGACCTTTTTGTTGATGGAATGGGTCAGTATCAATTTACCTTTCTTGTCCCTTGATTTAGTTTAAGACCCTAAACTGTACTTCAGTTCCCCCCTGAAACAACAGTTTCTTGTGTGGGGATAAACACTCTTGGAGAAATAAACTTCGTTTAACTCCACATCCAGACTTAGTTGCATAATGCTGTTATGGCTTAAATGCAATGTGTTTCCTTTTATCTTCTGCTCTTCAGTCTTTTCCTCCTTGCAGTATTAATACAAGGCAGACTCTTCCTTCCATCTCTCTGCAGAAGGCAAGTTTTGCAACAGAACATTTGACAACTACGCCTGCTGGCCAGATGGGCTGCCTGGCACTTACGTGAATGTCAGCTGCCCTTGGTACCTCCCCTGGGCTAATGCAGGTAGGAGCTTTTCCTTATAGGCACAGCTTGTTTTCCTTGCACGGTCTTAGCAAAGATAAAATTGGCTTAAAAGGCTACAAGTGAAGTCAGTTCTCTGCAACATAAAAGAAAGAATGGGGCTCATTTCGATACAGTCTTTATCTCCTTTTTGCAAGAAAAAATTAAAATGTGAGGAGGCTGTTATTAAGGGTTTTATTTAGTTTGGATTTTTGTGCTCTAACCTTTTTTTTTTCTGCTTGACTGGTGGTGACATAATAATACTGTGGTGCTTGTTGAAGACTAATAATATTAATAATGGTGTAGTTTGAAAACCGAGATAAAAGTAGCAAAGCTGGAGCTAAGGTTGTCCTGTAGTAAATAAAGACAAAGGGTCTAAAGTGAAAGCGTTTTATGCTGCTTCCTGAGATAAACTTATTTCTGAGAAAGGTGCAAGATGAAGCCATTGTCAATGGTTGCAAAGACTTTCTCTGAAAGACTGAATGTCACCTTTAGATTTTACACCCTTATGTACATGTACACTTGATGCAACTTGAAGGCAACGTGTATTAATTCGCTTCGTCTAGTATTCTGTCTTTGAAACCAGTGACTTGTACAGCTTGTTCTTTGAGAAGACCTTTCTATGTTTTGAAGTCTAAATGACACAGTTTTTTAACTATCTACCTTGGTGTGGCAAATTGACTTTGGCCAAGGATACTGGTTAATGAGGATGTATAAATCTGACTGTTGGATGTAAACACGGTTTAAGTGTGGAGTACACGTAAGTGTTGGTATGAAGGGATTTCAGGAATGACAAAGAAAAGGAATGGGATGGGATGGTCAGAGGATACTTAAATGTATCAGGTAATACGTGACCTGGGCATGATGCAAATAGTATGGAACAAGGGGTGGAGATTGTACTAGGTCTGGCTGGGGAGGAGGTAGCTATCTTTGTAGCAGCCAGGATGATGCTGTTATTTGTATTTCTGGATAGAAGCGTTGATAATGCACGAGTGGTTTGGCTGTTGCTGAACAGTGCTTGCACAGCATCAAACCTCTCTCCAACCCATGCCCTGCCCAAGGTGGGGAGGTCCTACTTTCCAAGAAGGACGTAGACATCTGCCTGCTGATGGGAAACAGCGAATAAATTCCTTATTTTACTTTGCTTTACACATGCAACTTTTGCTTTCCTTATTAAACTGTCATTAGCTTGAAATGGGGTGTGTGTGTGGAAATCCTCACACCAAAATCACTGAAAAAAAAAAAAAAAACCCAAACATGTAGCCATTTGGCCCTTCCTTACACACATTTTCCCTGAGGTGGCACCATCTTGGATGAGGGTCTTGGTTGTGCCCTGCAGCGTGCCTGTTGGGACTGTCTGTGTCCAGCACAGGGCAGCTCCTGCCTCTCCTCACAGAGAGCACTCTGCTGTGCCCCCCCTGCCAGCACCTAGACACAGACACCCAGGAAACTTGTTAACCTGCTGTAGCACTTAACGACTTTTTCTGTTGAGTGGGAAAGATGCTTGGAAATGTACAAATTTGGTGATGGTGTGTGGTGGGGGGAAATGTCAGGTCAACTATCACAAACGTTTAACTTTCTGGCTGGTTTTAAGCTTGCCTCAGAGTTAAGTCCCTAAAACAAAATTGCTGAGTCTGGATTGCTGTTTTCACTTTAACTTTGGTGCCTCTTCTATACCAGGATTTCAAGGGAAGAGATGGGAACCAACGTGCCTGGATATGTTCCCATGCAACCTGCTCTAGGTGGACCTGCTTTGGCGGGGGGTTTGGACTAGATGATCTCCAGAGGTCCCTTCCAATCCCATACCATTCTGTGATTATGGTGTACTTAGTGGTTAGGGACACTCATGGTGTGTGAGGGAGAGATCATCTGCTCCACGCTTTCTGCCCCTGGGGTCCTGATACCACTCGGTTACCTCTTTTGCCTTGTCTGCTTTGTGAAGTGACCTGTGTCTTGGCAGTTTTGTTCCTGTCTTTTTTGTGCTGAACATCAATGTTGGAGCGACTTACCTACCTCAATGTATTGCATTGTTTTCTGCTGGGTGAATATTATGTTCCTGTATCCGTATTTCTAACTTCCACACATCTCTTGTATTATCTCAACTGTCTTGGTAGTAGCTGCCAATTTGATAATCTCTGAAATTAAAATGCTGCTTGCTAATCTTCTTCAGATTATTAATAAAGATGTTAGAATGGATGAACAAGCTTTTTTACATATATGAAATTTAATATTTGCCTCATAATTAATTGACATAAAATTATCAGATGCTGCAGAAATTTTTCCGATAATGCTTTCTGGCTATCTAAAACTCTCCACAGGATTAAACTTCTTTCCTCTAAACCTGTTTACTTGCAATCTTTAAGACCCTGGAAACAGTTATTTGACTTCCAACTGCTCTTGAAACATCTCTGCTGAAGAGAGCCAAGGTTTAACACAGTACTGCAGATTAATAAATTATTGGAATGCGCAATATCTTTCATACTTTTGGAAATAAGTTTTTTTTTTTAAATTAATTATCCTGAAAACAGTGTTTGTTTCAGTGAAAAGAATAACAGCATTTTGTATAACCCCTTGCTAGGGAGGATTACAAAAGAGCTTCAGAAAGGCATTAGACCTCTGGACGTGTTCCCTTGTTGTGCATACTGTGCCTATACCTCAATCTGTTTTATCAACGAGGAATAAGAATGAAACAAGGAAGCCTTTCATTGTGTAATATAAAACAAGACGTTTGTATTGGTGCCAGGTATGCAATTTAGGAGCCTGAATTACCTGACATTATTTTGTGATGTCTTGAGGAGTCATGTTCAAAGTGAATGCTAATGGCCTGCCATGGTGAAGAGGTAACATTTTTTTAATGGAAGATCTAGAGCAATAGGGAATTGGACACCCTGTGATTTACAGTCATTACTAAAGCATACTTATTACTTGTTGTTGTTTAGCCCCCTGCTTGAAACTTGAAAGAGATTCCAGCACTGCAGGGCTTCCGTCTCTTTGCTTGGTGAAAATGGAGAAAATGAAAAGATGAGACCTTGTTTGAGAAGTACCTTCAAAACATGTTTAGTGAAGGTCATCATTAAGTATGAAATGCTTCAGCCAAACTTACTCATTTAAGACTGCTGTTCCTTTATTAGGGGTCAGGTTTTCAAGTGCACAAAAAGTTCTCTGGGCAACTTCACCCCATACCCCCAGAAGTCCCCTGGGGAATAAATTGAAACACTTGAAACTGAATACTGCTTATGACGGTACTGAAACAGAAAAAGGATTGAGTGGAAGTCTCTTTATGAGCTGGCTATTTCCCTAGAAAGTGTAGAAGAGTTGGAAGCACAGGGACAGGTGAGCCAGAAGGTATATCATTCAAGGATAGGATCAGGAAAGCCAAAGCCCACCCAGATGTGATGTGAAGGGTAACAAGAAGGGCTTCTAAAGAGATATGAGAGAAAATTTGGATCCATTAGTGAATGGGGCAGAAGGATCTTGTGACTAGGGAAATGACTGAGGTACTTACTGCTTTCTTCACCATGGTCTTTACTGGTAAAACTTGCCTTCAGCAATCCCAGGCCCCTGAGATCAGCAATAAAGCCTAGAGCAAGGAAGACTTACCCTTGGTGGAGGCAGATCAGATTATGGAACACTTAAGTGGGACATACACAAATCCATGGGACTTGCTGGGATGTACTAACAAGTGCTGAATGAACTAGTTGATGACATTGTGAGGCCACTCTTGATTATCTTTGAAAGGTCATGGCAATTGAGGGAGATTGCTGAGGACTGAAGAAAGCAATTGTCACCACTATCTTCAAGAAGCACAAGGAGGAGAATCTGGGGAACTATAGGTGATTGACCTTGTGTAAGTTCCCGGGAAGGCGATGAAGTAAATAATCTGTTTCCAAATGCATAAAGGACAAGAAGGTGATTGGGAATAGACAGCATGGATTTGTGAAGGTGAAATCATGCTTGACGAACCTGATAGCCTTCTATGATGAGATGACTAGTTCAGTAGATAAGGGGAGAGCCGTGGATGTTGTTTATCTTGACTGTAGTAAGGCTTTTGACATTGTCTCTTATAACATTCTCATTGACAACCTGATGAAGTGTGGATTAGACAAATGAACAATGAGATAAATTGAAAAGTGGCTGAGCTGCTGGGCATATGGGGTTGTGGTCTGTAGTGCAAAGTCCAGTTGGAAGTCAGTTCCTAGAGGTGTACACAGGGACTACTAGTAGGGCTAATACTGTTTAACAACTTTATTAATAACCTGGATGATGGGACTGAGTGCACTGAGTGCACCTTCAGGAAGTTTGCAGACAATACAAACCTGGGAGGAGTGAAGTGTAATGTCATGAATTGAAATACGGGAAATTTCCTTTAGATATAACGTTGGTCAAATGCCTGGAACAGGTGACACAGAGAGGCTTTGGAGTCTATCCTTGAAAAATATGGTCAAAGCTTGACTGGACATGGACCTGAGCAACTTGCCCTAGTTTACCCAGCTCTGAGCGGGGTGTTGCACTAGGAAATCTCCAGAGTCCCTTTCCAGTCTTTGTTGTTTTGTGATTCTCTGTTTCTGCTAAATTTTTTAACGTTATAAGTCTCAGTAACTAGTTACTGTCAGGAGTTACAAATTTCCATGGGGGTCAGCCAGAATTAGGAGATGGGGAAAAGAATTTGTATGGGAAGTGCTTGTCATGCTGAGGCATTCCTTGATCAATTGCAGGTTTTGCAAACCTTATACTTGAACAACTTTAATTCTTGTGTCCCACTCTTCTTATCCTAGTGGCTGCCAGTCTTGAGCCTGCCCTTCTGCAAATCTCAACAGCAGATGTAGCTCAGCAGTTTGCCTAGCAGAGTGGCAAGCCAAAAATTAGATGGAGAACTTTTCACCTGCTCAGCAGGTATGTGCTGTGTCGCTAGGCCAACCCCATGTGATATTAGCAGGTTCTTGTCTCAACTGGCTGCCACAGAGGTGCTCACTGAGGTAACTTTCTTGCTTCTTTCATGTGGC